TCATGTTTTACGCAGAAACTGCCTTCTAAAAGAAGCTATCGAAGGAAAGATAGATGGGCGGATAGAAGTGACAAGAAGACGAGGAAGAAGACGTAAGAAGATGCTGGATGACCTTGGGGACAGAAGAGGATACTGTCATTTGAAGGAGAAAGCTCTAGATCGCATTAAGTGGAGGAATTGTTTTGAAAGAGACTGTGGACCTGTCGTCTTGACAGATTACTGATGATGATGATGTATACAGCAACTCTGTCAATGATGAGACAACATCAAGACTCAGGAAGCCAATATCAGTGAGGCAAAGGAAGGTCAGAAGGATACTGGATACAGGCTTTCCTTACAGATCTCAAAAACTGATTAGTTGGTACAATAGTGTGGCTGAAAAATTACATACCTGGAGGTTGCTCTCTCAGTCCATTCCTGGGGGAGCTGGCTCAGATCGAATCTCTTCAGGTTCATCTCGGATATCTATTGTTAGTTCAGATGGAGACATCTGCAATGCAGCAATCCATATAATAGCCACATATCCTTCCATCTGTCCCACCATGTTTCTACCAAAGTTTTATTCATTATTTTGCTCCAATTATATGTATGCATCCTGCCATATGTTATAAATCTGCTGCACTACATGTTTCAGCCATTATCAGATATTAATGCAATTTTACATTCACCTTTAGTTTATCTGCTGTTCCTCCCTAGAAAGGTGAATGTTTTTATTTGGGAATAATTTTCTTGTCGTATACCGATGTAATGTCCTGTGTAGTCTTTTCATTAAAACTGTGTTAATACCTAATGATGGCCAAAGGGCTGAAACAAATTTATAGCATATAGTGAATATAGTGTATTTATACAAATAACTGTGTTGATGGATCCAAATAATAATTGTCTCACACATAATACAATGTTGTGATATAGTATCTTCAATTTCTCCCAAATGGCGTCACAGAAAAAAATGGTGAATATATAAAAATGTGCTTCTTGGGGAGAAAACCACAGTACAATGGTTAATGTTGCTGTTACATGCATGAATTCAAGTCCAAGTCAATTTTTCCCCCACTGTTTCCACCGCAAGATCTATGTTTTATGGAACATAATGACAAAGAAAACAAAATGATGTATTTTATGACAATCATTACAAAGAAATGTGTTCTGAAGGCACAAAAAATATACATGTCAGTAAAAGAATTTAGAGATGTTAACACATTCAGGACCAGAGGGGCCAATTGGCCCTCTACGTTTCTATAGCGTTGAGGACCGGGCGGGCCAACTAGCCCTTTTCTGTCGCGTTATGTTGCAACCAACTATATCTCGCTGTGTGGCCACGTTGCATCATAACTACTGCGTAGTTGACCTCAGGAATGTTTGCTAGCTTAGCCAGTAACATGATCACACTCATTTCCTGCCACACCCTAAAGAAAAAACAACCGGTCCGCAATGTGTTAACTAGCACTATACATACAGAGGGGCCCAAAAAATGTACTCACTCTTTGACAGTCAATATCTTTGGAACAAAATGACATGTAGTTACAATTCTTACACAGAGAGAGAGTCACTGTATGTGTTCGAAGTGACCACCATCAGCGGCTAAACAGCATTAATGCCGCCAAACTGCTTAGTGAACTACGGCTGTCAGTATGTCTGGTGTGATGGCTGCACGTGACACTTCGATGGTTTCTCGTAGCACGTTCAGTGTAGCTGGCTATTGTTCATAAACATCATCCTTCAAGGTTCCCCATAGGTATAAGTCAAGAGGTGTTAGGTCTGGAGACTGTGGTGGGTACTCAATAGCACCTCTTCGACCTATCCATTATCCAGGTAGAGTGTCATCCAAGTATGCCCTGACATCTCGATGGTAGTGAGGTGGAGCACTATCTTTGCAGCCTTCAAAATTCGCCGTACACTTGATCGGCTTACCCCACTTTTGCGAGCACACTGATTCACAGATTTTTGCGGTGGATCGTGTAAAGTGTTGCAACACCACAGCACTGGAAGCTGGACTTGTTACTATCCATGGTTGCCCAGATCTTTGCTTATGCACATCATGAACAGTACCGTCGGCTTCAAATTTATCCCGAATATGGGCAATTGTTCGATGTGTTGGTGGCCGAATTTCAAACTCATTCTGCCATCATCGTTGTACTTCTTTAACGTTTTTGTACTTCCAGTACCACTTCAATATAGCCCTGCGTTGCTCAAAGAACAACCTTTCAGCCATTATTGCTGCTGTCTTCTGCTCGCAGTGCGCATGCGACATGACACTCACGTGACTCATGTGACCTTCACTATCTGTTGAGAAAACATTACACTACACTACCGCACAAGAATTGTAACTACATGTCATTTTGTTCCAAAGATATTGACTATCAGAGAGTGAGTACATTTTTTTTGGACCCCCTTGTGCATATACAAGGGGCGTTGAAGTTCTAAGGTCTCCGATTTTTTTTCTCAGGACTGGGAGCAGATGGACACATGCAGTTTAGTTTAAAATACGTGTGCACTCTTTGTGAATGTGTGACAGAGATGGCAGTACTCTACGGCACACACAACTCTAGTGGTAGCAGTGAGAGTGAGGAGTGTTTTTGATACTTAAAATGGCGACGTTTTCGTTACAAGAACAGTGAGTAATCATTCGTTTTCTCCACTTGCGTGGTGCGACACCCATTGAAATTCATCGCCAGTTGAGTGAGACATGTGGTGATTGTGTCATGAATGTGAAAAATGTGCGCTCGTGGGTGCGACAGTTCAAAGAAGGCCGAACATCGTGTGGCAACAAACCAAAACAATCTCGGCCTCGCACCAGCCGGTCTGACAACATGGTCGAGCGAGTTGAGAAAGTTGTTTTGGAGGATCGCCGATTGAGTGTGGAAAACATCGCCTCCAAAGTTGGCATTTCCGTGGGATCTGCACAAAATCCTGCATGAAGACCTGCGAATGCGGAAAGTGTCCTCCAGGTGGGTTCCACGAATTTTGGCAGATGACCACAAGGCTGCACGCATGGCAATGATGAAGGCATGAATGGGACTTTCTTTTCATCAACTGTGACAATGGATGAGACATGGATGCCGTTTTACAATCCGCTATTGCATCAGCAATTTTCCAGTGGTCAAAACAGACTCCTACATAAGCGTTCACAGCGGCCATGGAATCATGGCGTCGACGCTGTGAAAAATGTGTACGGCTGCAGGGAGATTACGTTGAAAAGTGACAGAAGTTTCAAATTTTTTGTATGATTATTGTGTGAGAAAAAAAATCGGAGACCTTAGAACTTGAACGCACAACGTATATATATATGGAGTGCTAGTTAATATACATAATGTCTGTCCATCCTGACAAATTTTTTCCAAAGGGTGCATCTCAGAGAAAATGGGAAATACAAGACAATGCGCCTCTTGGAAATTCACTGATCTTTTTTTATTTTGAACATTAGGTATGGGTGGGACCATGTTAGGTGGGTCCCTGTCGCCAAAGCATGGCACATCCTCAGGTTGCGGATGGAGGAGACAGCCTCCAGTTTTGGAGGGAAGCTGCAAATATACTGAATAAACAGTCGCGAACAGCCAACAAGGGGTGGCCCTCCAACTTGGGGGTTGGGCATGGGGCTAACAACTCCTCACTGTAAAAAATCATTATGTTACAAAAATGAACACAAAGCCTCGGACTTGGATGGATTCTTTGGATAAATGACTTAGGTTAATGAAATAGGATATGAGATTTGGCACTTGGAATGTACGAAGTTTGTATAGGGCAGGTTCATTCAGGGCAGTGGCAAAGGAAATCTTAACACTTCGCGAACCGGACGCCTAGGCCTAGGCATTTGGGTTTTAAACGTGGCAGACCGGTTGCCTAGATTTAGGCTTTTAGGACACGTTATGTTGCAACACACTATTCCTCGCTTTGGTGGCCATGTGTCTGTAAAAGTACTGCGTAGCTGACCTTCGGAATGTTCGTTTTCCGAGCCAGCAACGTGACCACTCTCTATTCCCCTCTCACTCTAAAGAAAAGTCCCTTTGTTCAAGTCGAAGAGCTCTCGGAGAAGAAGAAATCTGTGATTTGATCTCCGATGAGTTATCTGACTTGCCAACTGCTTCCTCTTCTGATAGTGAGGGCAGTGTCAGTGGCAGTGACAGGGGCCCCCAAAATATTGTGACCAGAAGGGAAAGTGAAAGTGACAGTGAGAGCTCCAATGAAAGTGCGAGTGCTAGCATGGTGGGGACAGCAATATGGGGTGAAGTGGACAAAACACCCACTTTGGGAAAGTATACTGGTGATCCAGGAGTGAGACAAATGCCATCGGACCCTATGCAAGTGTAGCTGAACTGTTTTCTGGAGATAGTTTCTTTGACATGTTGTGTCAGGAAACCAACAGACACTATCTCCAACACCGTGAGGCGTACGACAGTGCCTATAAGGTGTTGAAGTGGGTGGATGTCACTTCAGCAGAAATGAAAAAATTTTGGCAATAATCATTCTAATGGGGTTTACAAAGAGGGATAATTTGAAAGACTATTGGTCCACTGATCCATTTTTAGAAATTCCCATTTTCGGCAAATTCATGAGTTGTAAGAGATTTGAACAGATATGGTGGTGTTTGCATTTCAATAATAATGAACTGCAACCACAATCAATGGGCAGGTTTTTCAAAATTCAGCCCTTATTAGACTTTTTCGTTGAGAAATTTCAGACAGTTTATAAGCCAGAGCAGCAACTGTCTTTGGATGAATCTGTGATTCCTTGGAGGGGAAGGCTTCGTTTTCGAACGTATAATCCTGGGAAACTCACAAAGTATGGCCTACTTGTTCATGTAGTCATGGAAAGCATTACAGGCTACATTGGAAATTTAGAAATTTATTCCAGTGAAGGTAAGAAATCGCAAGAAACTATTTTTTCCATTTTGGATCCCTATCTGGATCAAAATTATCACGTTTATCAAGATAATTTTTATAACAATGTGGCAACTGCAGAATACCTACTTTCAAGGAAAGTACGTATTTGTGGTACATTTAGGGTGAACAGAGGCCTTCCTCCAGATCTGAAAGAGGAATGTAAATCCATGAAACGTGGTGATGCCACATTCAGGAGGAAGGGGGATATTCTTCTTCAGTCCTGGAGGGATACTCGCGTTGTGAATATGATTTCCACTATTCACAATTCGAGCATGGTCAATGTTCAAAGATGACGCAGGCAAGTGAAGAAGCCTCTTTGTATTTCTCAGTACATGTTCATGAAGGGAGTTGATAGAGCCGACCAATACTTGGCCTATTATTCCCTTCTTAGGAAAACAGTAAAATGGATGAAGAAAGTTGCCTTGTGGCTTATAAATTGTGCCCTTTTCAATTCATTTTTGGTTTTCAAAGAGCTAAACGAAAATTCAACTTTGAAATACAAGACTTTTCTCAAGAATGTGGCAAAATCCTGGGCTACAGACCTCACGGTGGCGGCAGAAACTGCGTCAGACACAGACGTAGTAGGACCGGGACCATCTACTCCCACCCC